ATGTGCTGAGGCGCTGTACACCTGCCGTGGAGCTGCACCTCGCTGCCCAGCAGAAGGGGCTGGTGAGGAGAGCACGTTGAGGGGCCCAGCTGGGCTTAGGGCTACCTCACTTCATGCTCCCTGCCTGAGGGCCACAGCCCACACAGCATGTCCAGCATGTAAGTTTGCTGGATGCTGCTGAGCTTGTTCCTCATGACACGGGTAGAAAACAGCAGTCTGAAGGCACTGCACTCTTCATAACCAGACTCTACTGCTGGTGCCTCAGCTCCACGTGGAAGGGCGGGAGAGAGGATGGCAGCCCTGCCCCCACCACCCTCCAGGCCCACCTCGATGCTCACGTGTGATGCTTTCCATGGAACTTCTTCTGGCTCTTCAGCCAGATGGAGGGAATAGAGTTGCCCACGGTCAGGCATCAGAAGCAAATGGTGTTGGTGTCTGGCACCACAAGCTGGTTCCTGTCCACCCACTGGAGCTGAGTCCAGTGGGGTCCCTGTTGGCAGAAGTGCACGGGAAGGCCATAGCCAAGGTGGGGAGCAGAGGCCCATCTGACCCGATGCCCTTCCAAAGCTGCCCTTGCCCACGCCTGCGATCTTGGTTTTTCCTCCTGTGTAGGGAGTGTTGGCCTTTCAAAGACCCCTGCCTAAGTAGATGAGGCTCCCAGAAGCCTCGACATCATGTTCCCCCACGTCAGGCTTTCTCAGAGCTGGACCATGTGTCCCCTCCCCGTCTGCTTCCTCCAACTGGCAGCTCCTGCTGAGAGGTCCGGGGTGCTCCCCCTTGGCCTTGGGGCCTTCAGGTCATAAGGGCATCTGCCAGGGGAGTACCCACCTGCCCGAGGAAGCCCACTGAGGCAGGCCCACCAGGAGAAGGCCCAGGACCCAGCTGGGTGCATGAACCAGGACAGGCCTTGGGAGCAGTTTACCAGAAGGGGAAATCCGGCTGCCTGGAGAACTGGGAGCCTCAGAGACGGCTGGGCAGCGATGGCCCACTGGAGTCTGCGCCCCTAGTTCTCCCTCTGTAGAGCTCCAGGGCTTGGTGGGTACCGGGTGAGGATGGCATCCAGGAGGCCCTGCCTCTGCCCCCTTCTGGTGTCCGGGGCTGCTGCAGCCTCTACCCTCAGCCCAACGGTTTTCTCCCCTGGGGGCACCAGGAGCCCAGGAGGAAGATAACCCCTCCCCATGATGACCTTTCTGTCACCCACCCACAGGGACACGCCCCCTCCCCATGATGACCTGTCACCCACCCACAGGGACACGCCCCCTCCCCATGATGACCTGTCACCCACCTACAGAGACATGCCCACTCCCATGGTGACCTTGCTGTCACCCACCCACAGGGACACGCCCCTCCCTGTGATGACTTTGCAGCCACCCACACACAGGGACATGTCCCCTCCCCATGATGACCTTGCTGTCACCTACCCACAGGAATACACCCCTCCCCATGATGACCTTGCTGTCACCCACAGGGATACGTCCCCTCCCTGTGATGACTTTACTGTCACCCACCCACAGGGAAGGCCCCCTCCGGCCCCCTCCCTGTGATGACCTTGCTGTCACCCACCCACAGGGACATATGCCCACCTCTCAGGGGATGATGCCAAGGCACTGGTGGGCACAGTTCGGACAGATGCTGGGAAGAGGCACCTCCCAGAGCTCTGAGGTGCCCTCCCAGGCTTCCCCAGGTGGGGGGCAGAGACCCCAGGAGACAGTGAGAGCCTAGGAAACTGCACCAGGGGCTCTTTCTCAGGACCAGGCAACCACAGTGACTCAACAGTGCTGTCCACGGCCAGACAATGCCTTCTGAAATGCTGCTGTCGAGGGACCCTCACAGCCCAAGCTCACAGGGGATGAAAACGCCTAACTCCTACCTGGGATGGTCAGGTAGGCGGGGGCAAGCAGGGACTCAGGGCAAGAGTACTGGAGTATGTGATCAGGAGTAGGGGCCATGGGGACAGCACAGCCAAAAGAATTCTCATCCTATCCCAGGATCCACTGCTCTGGCCTCTGGTCCCCTGGGCTTTCCCCGACTTCCCCCTCCCAGGCTGGCTCCTCCTCACCTCCTTGCCTGCTCCAGTCCAGTGGGCATGGGGGCTCAGCCCATACGCCATTGGTCCCCAGGTTGTGTGACTGCCCCCCTCCGTGTCCATCCCAGGATGACACTCACTCGCATGGGCACGTCTCTTGGCTTCTCCAAAGCCAAGTCCCACCTCCCCACCCAGGCCATCTACAGTTAAGCAAAGTGCACCTGCCTCTGTTCCAAGCCAGAACCCCTGGGCATTGTCCCCCTGATTGCTGTCTCACACCCACAGCCATCTGCTGGGAAACCCAAACCCTGCTGGCACTAATCTACAGCCCCTCATAGACACCCTCCCCCGCACTGGGCAGTGGCAGTCATCTGCTGGTGCCCTTAATGCCTGGGTCCATTCACCCCATTGCAGCCGCCTGAGCTCTGCTGTAGTCACATCTGCGGGCTCCACCTCACCCAGAGTCAACACCAAAGTCCCCACAGGCCAGCCCTGGCCTCCTCCTTGCTCCTGGAGCCCTCGGAGCCCTGCGCCTCAGTCTCCCCATCTGCAGCATGGGTGTCCCCTCCCACCCCCAGCCTGCTACCCAGGGCCCAGGGCCAGGCATACAGACCCATCTCAGTGGCCCAGCTCCTCCTCCACCCTGAGGCGATTTAGGGAGGTCATACCCCAGACCTCAGTCCCTTACCTGCATGTGGAGGTCTGGGCTTGCTGGGTAGGAGCAGGCGTCACCTCCGGCCAGTCTATGTGCCTGGAATCTGGTCTCCCCTGTGTCTTAGCCTCATCCTCCCATCTTCCTCACCTCCCGAGGGTGGAGCAGCTGCAGGGCAGGAGAGGGTGCGAGTGGGCGGGGGCCCTGAGGCAGCCCACACCCCGGGCAGGAGAGGGTGCCAGTGGGCGGGGGCCCTGAGGCAGCCCACACCCCGGGCAGGAGAGGGTGCCAGTGGGCGGGGGCCCTGAGGCAGCCCACACCCCGGTGCCTGCTGCTTCTCAGCTGGGGGAAGGGACTTTCACCCCAAGGGCTCAGTCTCTGACTCGCCCCAGGAGGACCCTAGGCGCCCTTCACAAGCGGGAATGGAGCCCCTCAGGCAGCACCTCCTGGGGGTCCTCTCTACCAATGACAAGCAAGTCCTTCAGGGTAGGGTCATGGCAGCCACACCTCCAGAGACCCGTTGGCTGCTCCTGGACCACACAGCTGCTCAGGGAACTTTAACCTCTGGCCCCCTGCACACAGCCCAGCATGACCCCTGCAGGCACTCGCCTGTCACTCGCACACAGAGGGCACGGGACACACAGCCTGAGGGAGCCGCTGCCAGCAGCTGTTGGCCTCAGCGCTCTCTCGAAGGCATTGGCACCAGCAGCCACTGGGACCCCTTCAGAAAGCAGTTCAGGACACCAGCCCTGCCCCAACCTTGACCCAGACACCGCTGGGTGGGTGGCAGCTCAGCCCCAAGGTGTCCCCACTGGTTAAGAGTAAATATTCCTACTGGCCAGAATCAGGCACTGGGATCTCTGTCAGTGAGACAGTCAGCCTGATGCAGGCACCCCAAAACCTGGCACAAGACTCAACACCCCACAGGGAGGCCCCATGGCACCCCCACTTTACAGACACACCAGCAGAGGCCACTGGAGCCCTGAGTGAGGAAGGAGCCGGCCCAGAGCCTGGGGTCTCAGCAGACAGTGCTCAGAACCAGGCATGGGCTGGAAACTCCCTAAAGAGCCGAGGGTCAGTATTTTCAACTTTGTCAATGCTTCCGTCCCAAGGACGGGGCCCTGCAGTTGCAGCGTGACCGCAGCCTTCCGCAGACAATGTGTAAAGGAACAGGCAAGGCTACACTCCCAGAAAACTTCACTATGGACATGGAAACTTGTAATTGGAAAGTGTCATAAAGTGTTAATCTTCTTTTGATTTTTTTCCTATTGCTTGGGGATGTAAAATTCACTCAGTTCATGGGCAGCACAAAAGCAGGTGGGGACAGGGTGCGCCTGGCTGACCTCTGGCTGACATGGAGTTCGGGGAGAAAATGATGGGATGGGGCAAGCCCAGCCCCCTCACAGTAGAGATTCACCCAGGGGGGTCCCTGTCAGCACCCCCTCCCCATCCCTCGTCTTGGCTTCAGGAGTAGCTCAGGTGGAGAGTGGGGGAACAGAACGGGCCTCAGCAACAAGGATGGAGATGCAGGCCCAGGCAGCCATGTGGACAGATCCACTCAACAATGCACACTGCAGGGGCTGTCAACACCAAGCCAAACAGGCTTGACCAGCCAAGGGCCCCAGAGTGGGGGCTTTCGGGGGTGGGAATGTTCTATACCCTGCGGCTCTTATGATAGCTCCACACAGCGGTAGTTACAGAAAACACACCCTGGGAAAAAGCAAAATACAAACAGGACACCAGGTCTGGCCAGTTGGGTCTCACAGGCCAGTGGAGTGAGGAGGCCCAGGTGGGCTCATAAGAGTGGCTAATAGCAAACTCTACCTGCATGGGGTTTGGAACCCTGTGTCTCCCAGAGGAGGACTCAGGCTGGGAGAAGGAAACTGTCAGAGTCACCATGCGAGCTAGTAAGAGCTGGAGCCATAGAGCAGGTAAACAGTCCTGGGCCCCAACCCTGAAGGCTGAGAAGCTGGGGTGGGGGCACATCTAAGGGCAGATACACACAGGTAGCCCCTGGGCCCCTCCCCCTGCCCAGTGAGCACCTAGCTCCTGAGGGGCCACCAAGGCCTGATAGCAGGGACGCACCAGCAGACCATCACCCCCAGGCCTCTCTGCCAAGGTCAGACAATAATACCCAGTGCAGACAAGGTGGTTCTGCTGGGAAAGCCTCTCCCCAGATCCAGCTGGGCCAGCAATTCTTTAACTTGCCATTCTGCTGACACTGGGCCTAGATCCAAGGGCCCCGCTGCCCACATTGGCCACACCAGTCCTTGGCTCCCTGGCCAGGCCGAATTCTGCCCATCCTGCCTAAGCCAGCTCCACATGCCCAGTTCCCACCAGGATTCTGCCAGCCAGAAGGACCCCCACTCACCCCCTGAAGCATCCACAGGAGCCTGCGTCCCACAGGGACCTACAGCTCATGGCCAGGTCCTGTGGTCAGGGGTTCCCACCCTGATCTCTTCCCTCCAGTGCTGGACATCGTGTCTTGTGGGGACCACCCAGAGCTGGGAGATGCCACCCCCCAGAAGGCAGAAAACTGACTGTTCATGGCAGCCTCAGGCCCAGGCCCTGGTCCAAGGGCAACAGCTGGTTGGTTCCAGTTTGGTGAGGGCAACTGACAACAGGTGAAGCCATCTGTACAAGTATTTCCTTCAAACTGGCCTAGTGAGGGGCTGGGGAGGACCCAGAGTAGCCCCCAGCCCCACCAGTGTAAGCAGGGGTGGGGGAAAAGACCCATGTTCAGCCAAGGGCTGACCCCTGACCTGCCCACCCTCTCAGCCCACTAGGGGCCAGATTAGGGACCCCTGACTTCAGGCAGAGGCAGGCGACAGAGTTACTACCTCCTGTGAGCCCATCCCAGGGCCCCTGGGGACACATGGCAGGGCCGAGTTGGGGGAATGAGGCAGGGGAATGCTGAGTGAAGGATGTGTGGAACTGGGCAGGAATGGGCACTAAGGCCAGGGTCTGGCTCCCCCTGGGGAGGTGGCAGTGGAGCACGGGGCAGCCAAGCCCCCACATCCCCCACTGCCACCTGCCCAGCTGCTAGGCATAAGTGGTACCTATACTCCCCTGGCCGCTCCAGGAATGGTTCTTTTTTGATCAATAGAAAGGGGCCCAGTCCACACCCACATAGGCACAGGAGTCCACACACATCAGAGAACAAAACTGCTGTGCCAGGAAAGGGTGAAAATGTTCCCCTCCGGCTGTGGGTCCCACAGCACCTGCTCCTGCCAGCACCCTCACCCCACAAGGTGCTGACCCAACCAGGGTGCCACATGCCAAGAACAGCCCAAAGGCTATGGCAACCTGGAAGGGCTGTTCAGGACCTGGGCATGTTTCCCAGTCACAGTCTCCCCGACTTTGCTGCTCACTGGCCCTGTGCCTCAGTTTTCCCCACTGTGGCAAAAGGTAATCTCACCCTGAAGGCTAGGGGGTCTGAAAGCAGAGGGCGGAGATATTTCCTGTCCAGGGTCTCTTGCCCAGAGATCACTGTGCATCAGGCCATGGCCAGGCCAGTCTCCTGGGGGGACTGTGTTCCCTGTCCCCTGCTTCTGGAGTCTAGTGGCCAGATCCAGGTCGCTACAGTTAAGAGCCCCCAGTGTATTGGGGGAAGCCCCGGTTGGGGGACGGGGGCGGATGGAGGTGGCATGATGCTCCATGGAAAGGGCCCTGGGTGGGTCCCAGAGAACAAGCATCAAATTGAGGCCCTTTTCTGAAGTGGCTGCCCAAGGAATTTGAGTTTTGGAGTGAGATGAGAACATGGGGTCAGGGAAGAAAGCATTTTGGTTTTGGAAATGCACAAAGTTCTCTGAAGCTCTCTGAGGTCCAGATGTTTTGCTAGGTATGTGCTTTAAAAGGGCCTAGAAGGAGTGGGGGCGCCCATAAGGGACAATGCAGCCAGGGGCCAAGGTCCAGCCTGCCTGCCTGCCCCCCTGCAGGCGTTCCAGAGTTCCATAGCGAAGTCAGAAAAGAAAAGTAAAAAAGATCTGCAGCCAAGGAGGGCTCACGAGAGCTTACCAGGATTGTCCAGTTTAATCGTCAAAACACCCCTGACATATGGGTCCTTCCTGGCAGGTGAGGAAACTGAGTTTCGAGTAGGGCATCCAGAGGTGGGGCGGGCAGTTGGCAGCCTGCAGCCCCTGAGGTCCTGGCAGATCTTCCCTGGCCCCCAGCCAGACACGCTCCACTCCAGCTCATGCACCTGTCAATCACCTGTCCAGGACTCAGGCTGGCTGGGCCTCCCGTCCTCCCGCCAGCCCCCTTGCTCATCGCTGGGGCCTCCCTGCGAGGCTGTCAGCGGCCGAGGTGGGTGCCCTTGCCGGGGTGGGTAGCCGGCTGTCCCCCGGATCAGGGCCCCTGCAGCAGCCTGCCTGGAACCCGAGCCTGGCCGCGCAGGGAAGGATCGGCGGCCCCGGAATGGCTCCGCCCAGCTAAGGCCCGGGCAGTGGCTCCCGTGCAAGGTGGGCCTGTGCACCCTGCAGCCCCTGGGCCCTCCTGGAAAATCCTTCGCATCCTGTGGGACCTGGACCGCCAGCGGCCTCCCAACCCTGGGCATCTGCCCCTCGCCTCCGCCTGGCATTGGACTTCTGAGAACCCTGGGCACGAGGGCAGCGTGGGCGCAGGGGAGGCTGTCAGTCCAGGCCGGCGCTGAGAGGACGCGTCCACCCCACCCTCCAAACGCCGTCCTGCTGCTTCAGCCAAAGCCGTCCTGGAGACGGGCCCAGGGACTCCCCGCTGCAGCCTCGAGCTCCGGGGTGGCCCCGCGGCTCCCAGGGGTGGCCCCGCGGCTCCAGGAGTCACACACTCCGCCGCGCCAGCTCGGACCGACCGCAGACTTCGCGAGCAGAAGCAGCGCCGCGCGGGCCCTGACCCCACACCCTGCCCCGGCGCCTCCGCCTGCAGGACCCTCCCCGGGCTCGCTGGGTCCTTCCTCCCCCGCCGCTCCCCCGACCGCGCGCGGTGCCGACGGCTCCAAGGCGGCGCCAGCCAAGACGGTCCCGGCCACGCAGCGGTGGGTGCGGCGGGTGCGGCGGGTGGGGTGCGGCGGGTGCGGCCGGCACCACGGGCCCGGCAGGCGGGGAGGACGCGCTCCCAGTCTCCGGCAGCAGACCAACCCCTCCGACTCCGACTCCGACTCCGGCCGCCTCCTCCCCGCCGAGGTCCCTCCGGGGGCGGCCGCCGCACACTTTCCGGAGCGGGAGCGACTGTGAACCCGAGTCCTCCCCGCGCCCGCCGGTCCCGCAACCCGGCCCTGCGCCCGCCCGGGGACCCACTAGTGCGGCCGAGCGACCCGGCGGGACCCACAGGGCGCCCCCTTCCCGCGTCCTCTCCACCCCCGCGCGCTGGGCCGAGGCGCCGGGTCTGGCGCGGGCTGCGGGACGAGGGTGCGCAGTCGGGAAACAGTCGGTCCTACGAGGCCCTTTGGCCTGGCGGGGGCTCAGCCTGTAACCCCAACAATTTGGGAGACTGAAGCGGGAGGCGCGCCTGGGTCCACGAGTTCAAGCCCCGTTGGGGAAATCCGCCCCGCACCGCCGGCGGGTACCCCGAGTCCAGCGGAGACAAAGGATTTAGAAAGAGACAGAATAAGAGTTAAAAGGCGGGTCCCCGAGCTCTCGGCCTCCACCCAATTTATTGGTTTACAAGCTCTTTGTGCTTAGGGCGAATGGGAGGGGTAAGAAGGGATGAGGAAAAGGATTAAATACTGAAGGAGAACTCGTGAGTCGTTCGATAAGGTGTATAGCAGTGGCGGTTTCTGCGAATTTTCCTTGAGTAAAGGCGTGTGTCTAAACTACTTAAGATCTTTAACTTAAGATCGGGACTGAAATGGGTGGGAGTGGGTTTCAGGAGGAGCCAAGATGTTTGATTATACTCCACTTCAACGGAGTGTTATCTCCCCGAGCACCTGTAGCATGCGGCTGAGCTGTTACACTGTGGGGCATAAAGACATGAAGGCAATAAGGAGACTTTTCTCCTCAGAGGCCGCCCATGGCTCCCCACGGATGTCTCACACAGGGGAGACCAACTCATCTGGTATTCCAGAAACTCTCTTTCCCACATGTGCCCCTCTGTTTGTCTCTATTATATGTATGTATTTTTTTTTTTAATTAATAACCGCCATTGCTATTTCCTTCACTGTCTGGCTTCTCTCCCAAGGCGCGTCCGCATCTGTAGACTAAAAACAAACAGCATAAACAGACACAAACCAAAATAAAATTTGCGATTGTTGATCTACCTATGGTTTTAATCCACTTTAAAGGATTAGTGTTAGAAAGGCCATCAGCAGCTCCAGTAAGAATATCAGCTCCAGGCAACAGGCTGAGATGAGCCTGAGATGCCTCGAAAAGTTGTTTTTTCAGTTTAGCAATATCTAATGTTAAATTATCTTCTTTTCCTTGTAGTGACGTCTAATCATCTGCCAGTGGTGTTCAGTGGCATTTAAGAGCTAGGAGTAATACAAAAGTCGGAAGTATTCCAATCACATTGCATTTGAATTCTATGCTCCAAGCTCATAATCCAATCTCCCATCCAAATTACTGTTTGACGGAGATCATTCATTTGATTTGCCAATTTTTGTTCTGTTTGGCTTTGGGAATTCCAAAGCTTAGAAGAATTGTTCTGCCAACTATCCACAAAGCCCACAGTTTGAATAGAAGAGTGCAAAGCAACACCAGCAGCAGCAGCTATGACAGCTAAAAGGCCCATGATCACAGCTATTAAAGTAAATATGAATCTTTCTGATCTACTAAGCATTCCTTTTAGTACTTCTGTGATACTCTGTATGGAGGGACAGGCCTCCCAAGGTCTATTGAGGGAAACAGGTATCCAAACTCCTTCTCAGGCCCTAACCACTATCTTTATTAGAGGTAGAATTAATGCAGGTAAAAAGACAACAGCTGAGGCATGATATGGTTTGAGAGTCAGGTAGGATGTTAATTTTTCCCACTGCCAACATAAAAGGAGGTTTAACACAGCTCTGCAATGGGACCGTCCGATTAGAGGTCATGGCTACAACAAATTGAAGTTTTTACCATGGGTCTCTGTTTTATATTCTCCTTTCCAAATCTGAATTGGGGTTTGAGCCATCATTAATTTCCACAATTCTGGATGTTCTGTACTTTTAATTGGGTCAATCATTTTTGGGCTTGGAGGAGCCATACCATTCTCCTCCCACTTAATAGGGTAATTTGTTTCAATTATTCTATGTAATTTTGGTGCATTATCTGGGTAGTCGTTTGCAAAAGTAGTCTCTCTACAATCTTCTCTCTGTCCAGTACAATTTACTGCAAAGTGTCCCCTAGGGGCTCAATCAATGATGATTCCATAGGAATTATTTTGCAGTACAGCAGCACTGTTTGCAATACAATCTTCCGAGGTTAGCACCTCTAGCTTCTCAGACCATTCAATGGCAGGAGGTTCTTATTAGGTTTAAATTTATTAATCTGGCGATGTGTCATAACATAGCCATGCTCAAGGTATTTAATAGTGTCCAAAGATTGAAATGTTCTTCCACTGATTACATGAATAAAGGCTTTTTATCCATTATGTGCAGGAACATAAGCCATCCAACTTTGTGTATCATAATTTAAACATCCCGCTGCCGGCCCCAGGCAGATGGGAGGAAAGCGATAACCAGTAGAAATATTCATTAACATTCCTTCCTCCTCTGGATGAGTAGGACCTCAGTTATCTGTTGGTCCAGGCATCCAGACACTATCATTAACATAAACCTCCACTGGGGTGTCTAACCATGTAACAGGCCTAACCAGTGGTGGGAATGGAATGTAGGCCCAATAAGTTTTTTCTTATATTCAGGGAGAGAAGATGATACTACTCCCAATATCACAGGGGTTGTACACACTTCCTGCGATATTGTTCCTAATATCCTGAAGGGGAGAGCATAATATTACTCTCAACATCGCAGGGGATGTACACCTCCTTTGTAATATTGTTCTCCCCCTCCCTGCCTAGCTATTACGATCCACATTGCAGGGGGGTGAGGCCCCCCCACGATATGGGGAGTAATAGCCACCCCCTCTCCCCCTCTCCCCCCTCCAGCCTTATATAAGGAGGCTGGCCTTATATAAGTGCCCCCCAATGCCATCGCAGGCTTTAATGTATTCACTTAAAGTTTTTTCCTCATTTAGATCTGCCTTTCCCTTAATAGGTCTAATTGCTGCCTGACATTCTGCATTAGCATTTTCATGAGCAAGCAGCTGAAGGATCACTTTCTTGGCATGAGAATCGGAAATAGCCTTTTGAGCTGCATCGTGCAAACAGGCGATACAATCTGGATAAGGCTCCCTTAGACCCTGTTGAACTGTGTTAAAAGAAGGATAAGCAGTAGCAGGGTCGTGAATTTTTCTCCCAGGCTCTTAGGCATAGTTCTGAGCTGATCAACAACCTCATCACCCATTTCCATCTGTTGATTTAGAGTACCCCATGCCTGTCCAATTACAAGCAATTGATCAGACGTGATATTAACGGGATGTTGGGCTTGAGCATTTCTGCCTGATTTGTTGCTTCATCCATCCACCAGGTTTTAAATTGGAGAAATTCAGAGGGGGACAGGGTGGATCGGGCTAATGCCTCCCAATCCACAGGTATTCAACGTCTGTTATAAGCCACACATTGTAACAAGGAACATAAGGAGAATTTGGCCCATATTGTCCAATTGTTTGCTTTCGGTCTTTAATATTTTAAAAGGAAATGGCTCCCAGCATGCTTGAGCAAGTTCTCTGGCCTCCTCAGCTGGCGAAATAATGACCAGAAACTGCCAAGCATTCAAATCCCCCATTTCTTGTGCCTGGCGAATGGATGCCTGGATTGTCCCTGCGCCATAATTTGTATTTGGACCGGCTGGCAGCATTCCTCTACCATAATTAACAGGTGGGCAAGCCTGGATCATTCATTCCCTCATCGTAATTGGCTGTTGGACAAGCCTGAAGCTTTCCTTCGCCACAGTTAACAGCAGGGCCTGCAACAATGGGAGCGGCAAGGCCAGTCTCAGGCTCCCCTTCCAAAAATTCCTAAGGCTGTCCTGGGGGTGGCCATTCCAGACCTTCCCCTAAAGGCGCAGTAGGTGGCCCTGTTTCTTTTATAAGTTTTTGGAGATTAGCATACATACCTTCCCGTTTCTCGCCCTTTTTTAAACTAGACTGTCATGGTTCACTTTGCTGATAATTAGACTCCTGATTATTCAACTTTCCTATGTCATCCTGAACTCCTTCTTCTCCTCCTCAGTGTGGAAGGGCTCCAGGGCTGTTTTAATTGCCGATCACACAGACCAAGCAGAGGGGAATATCGTGGCCCTCTTGTGCTGGTTTTAAGTCTGATCCGACCTTGTCCCAACCTTCTACATTCATGGCTCCATATTCCGGGAACCAAGGAGAATACTCGTCTACCAGATGGAGCAAAGATGTGAGATTTGGGGTACTCACAATTACCTCACCGCGGCGCAGTAACTGCCGCACAAGGCTTAAGTAATTAGCGAACTTACTCTCAGCCCGACCCACATTTTCCCGAGGTTTCCCCGGAATTCTCCGAGCGCCCACTTACCCTAGAGCTTGAAGTGAAAACCTACTGGGGAGTCCTTTGTCGGTCGTCCTCCGCTTTCCACGCTCTGGTGTTCCTTCACTGGATTATTTGTAGAGATTACGGGGAGCCCTGCGTTGGGCACCAGAGACAGCCTGGGCAACCGAGGGAGACCCCCGTTTCTACCAAAAAAAAAAAAAAAAAATTAGCCAGGTGTGGTTTCGCGCGCCTGTAATCCCAGCTACTCCTTGAGAAATCAGACAAAACCTGGCACAGGACTGATTTTCTTCTGAAATGCTTTCTCCAAAATATTTCTAAAACAAAAGGGGGAAATTGGAAAGGAAAATATTTTGGGCCCCCCAAATCACTAAGATAAAGGGAAAAGTCAATCTGGGAACTGCTTAGGGCAAACCTGCCTCCCATTCTATTCAAAGTCATCCGCTGCTGGCTGAGAAGAATGCATATCTTATTGCCGCCTTTGGAAAGGCTCATCAGAAACTCAGAAGAATGCAACCGTTCCTCTCTCACCTGCCTGTGACCTGGAAGCCCCCTCCTGGCTTCGAGTTGACCCACTTTTGCTTCAGGTTGTACCGGATCGAACCAGTGTTCATCTTACATATGTTGATTGATGTCTCCTGTCTCCCTAAAATGTGTAAAACTGTCAGATACAGTCAGTTTCTCTTCCAAGGTTTGGCATGTTAACGTTCTTGTGTTTTGTTGTGGAACCCAACTTTCTTGTTCTCCATGCCTCCTTGCCCTTAGTTACTGTAAACAACCTTCCCCCCGTCAGTTCTAATCGATCACTCACATCTGTTCCCTTGGTTACCTGCTCTGCACCCATTTCTCCCTTGGAAACCACAGGTCCCACCATTGTAACTCACATCCCCCTTCCCCCTTCCTTATTTGGGAAAATATTCACAAATAGCCGACGGGGTCAGTTTAGATCTTGAGGTCCGGCCCCAGCCCATGCCAGAGGTAGGGATTGCGTCAGGAATAAAAACCCCTGCTTTCCTTTGTTCCGTGTGCTCTTGCGATTGTGACTGATGCGAGCAGCACGCTTCTGCAGAGGTAAATTGCATTGCTGAGAAAACTTTCGCTTGAGTGCTGGTTTCACTTTGCGACACCGAGCATTTATCTCCAACAAAACCAAGCTGTGCTCTGACCACCTTGGGCAGCTGTCATCAGGACATCCTGAGGCTGTGTCATGCACAAGCATCCCCAACCTTGGCAAAATAAACTTTCTAAATACTCTTTTCCCCAAATGCTCGAGGAGACTGATTTGAATAATCATAAAACTCCGAGGCTGCACTCCAGCCTGGGCGACAGAGCAAGACTCTGTTTCAAAAAATAAAATAAAATAAAATAAAATAAAATAAAATAAAATAACTCGGATCTCCCGCACAGCCGACTCTGCGTGAATTACTCTTTCTTTATTGCTATTCCCCCGTCTTGAGAAATCGGCTCTGTCTAGGTAGCGGGCAAGGTGAACCCACTGGGCAGTTGCAGAATTGTCATTATATTGCTTTTAATTTTATATCTATATTATGCACAAATAGCTATAATCCTGTATACAAGGTTAAATGCGAAGGTCCTCCTTGCATGGTCAGATCCCAGCGCAGGAAGGACGCACCCCCTACAAACCGCTAGGCCAAAAAGGTCATTCTGGCCACATCCAGCCTAGTGAGATCGCAATTTCCTGTCACTCTGGGCCTGAGGGGGCGGGGCCTGAAGCCCCATACAATCAGGGGCGCTGGGGTGGGGACCCGTCAATCAGGCGCGCCGCCGGAAAGGAGAGGGCGGCTTCCGGGATCTGGCTGGCGGGCGCTTTGTCTCGCCTTCGCCACCGTAGGCTCTTCCTGTGAGTCTCCGCTGCTACTTCCTGGCTCTGGGAGCCCCGGTGGCTCTGCAGCAGCCTCGGCCACCCTGTGACCTGCGGGTGTTGGGACATCCCTAGCTGACGCCGGGACACCCGGGGAGCCGAGGAATGGTGAGTGGACTGCGCCTGGCTTCCCGAAGTGGGGAAGAGGGCTGGGTGAAACCTGCTGGAACCAGCCATGGGCTGCGGAACCTGCGGACCGAGTCGCCGGGCGCAGCCGGGCCTCAGTCCCCTTAGTACAGGGCCGGGCGGCGCGGGCAGCGGGACCCCCGCGTCCTGTCTGTACCTGCGGGCGCCACTTCCGCCGGCCGGAGCCCTCTCCGGAACCCCGCGCCCCCCCACCCAGGTAGTGCGGTGACCACGGGAGGGTGATCCGGGAGATCCCGACTCGGTGTGCGGGGTTCCAGCGTGGGAGGAGCTGTGGTTCATGGAGCTTCCAGTCCCACCTTTCTCCCCCTAAAATTAGCTGAGGCTTTGTTAAAACGTTAAACGGCGTGTTTGAGCAAACGCGATTCATAAACCGGGTACCGCAGTCATGGTTTGTGGTTTGGGGTCCACGGGAGGGGCGTAAATGAGAGGCTTTGATAAGGTGAATGAGGAAGCAAACCATTTATTATTATTATTTTTTTTTTTTGAGACGGAGTCTCGCCCTGTCAGGCTGGAGTGCAATGGTGCAGTCTCAGCTCAGTGCAACCTCTGACTCCGGGTTCAAGCGATTCTCCTGCCTCAGCCTCCCAAGTAGCTGGGCTTATAGGCGCCACCACCACGTCCAGCTAATTTTTGTATGTTTAGTAGAGACAAGGTTTCGCCATGTTGGCTAGGTTGGTTTCGAACTCCTGACCTTAATTGATCGCCCACCTCGGCCTCCTAAAGCTCTGAAATTACAGGCGTGAACCACCTTGGCCAAAATATTTTTGTTTCCAAACATTTTACATGAGAGGAAAGCGGAGAATAAATCATCTGACACTCTACTGTAAAAAAAAATCTTTGTGCCTCTCTTCTTTTCATCCTTCCTAAGTGTACATATTACCAAAATGTCTTTAGGTTGAGGTCGCCCCGTGAAAACTTTACAGGGTGTTGTGTCCTCAGCCATCCTCCTGTCTTTTCCTAGTCCTGGCATTTTAGAACTGTCTGGGGATGACCCAGGATACCCACAGTGGCCATGTCTATTGGAGGGTCTAGTGAGTATCAGCCCCGGGGTCATCTGATTCCCAAGAACAGCCTGAGGTAGGGGGTAGAGTCTCTCAGGGGAGCAGCTGGATGCTCTTGGCCTTAGAGGAATCTCCTGGTATAGTTTCATCTAAAATGGTGACCCTTTAGGGTCATTAAAATTTTAGGACATTAACATTAATGGACAATACAATGTAATGTCACTAAAGTTAGGTCATTAAAATTGTTCCTCCAGCCCGAGTTTTTATTCCTCGGAGACACATTGATGGTCTGCCAATCGGATGCTGATATTGAGAGGAAAAGGCAGAAATGATTTCTGCTCTCTAGCTTGTCTCAGACTTGTGAAGAGAGAAAAACTGTCCCAAAGGACAAGGAAAACCCACCCCAGAGAGGATGTGCAAGCACCTGAATATTAAAATGCACTGAAGGCACACAGGAGGACAAAGAGCAGTGCCAGTGCCTCCTAGGTGGTCACTGAGTGCTTTACTGAACAGGATGGGTGTCCCGAGGGATGGAATGGCCTGCCGTGACACTTAGAAAGGTCTGCGTTGGAGTCAGCCCTGCCTCCCTGAGTTTGTTACCTTGAAAAGGCTTGTCCGCTTATTTGAGTTTCAGGTTTTCACTGACTGTAAGATACATTTTGTCAGTACAGCTTGAAAGATAAAAATACTATTTCCAAAGAGGCAAGGTAAAATGATGTATTTCATTTGCTAAAAATTCGTATTTATTGCTTCCCCAGAGTGAGTGTGGTAAGTTTTAAAGGTCTGTTCTTATTTTATTTGCTAAAAATTCATATTTATTTCTTCCCCAGGGTGAGTGTATAACTTTTAAAGGTCTGTTCTTTTTAGGGGTAATTTCAAATGGAATTGTAGGACTTAGTTTTGTAAATGCTACTGGTGAAATAAAAGTGTGACAGATAAATTGATGATTTACAAAGATTCACCAAAATGTCAGTTCCCCTCTTGTAGCTTGGTGAAGAATTGATGATAGTGGACACATCTGTACCCTCTTATGTGGATATCTGAAGGTTTTTTTGTTGTTTTTTGTTTTTTTGGAGACGCAGTCTTGCTCTGTAGCCCGGCTGGAGTGTAGTGGCACCATCTCTGCTAACTGCAACCTCCGCCTCCTGGGTTCAAATGATTCTCCTGTGTCAGCCTCCCGAGTAACTGGGATTATAGGCGCCCACCACCACACCCAGCTGATTTTTGTATTTTTAGTAAACATGGGGTTTTAGGCCTGGCATGGTGGCTCATGCCTGTAATCCTAGCACTTTGGGAGGCCAAGGTGGGTGGATCACGAGGTCAGGAGTTCCAGACCAGCCTGGCCAACATGGTGAAACCCTGTCTCTACTAAAAATACAAAAAAATTAGCTGAGTGTGGTGGCAGGCACCTGTCATCCCAGCTACTCGGGAGGCTGAGGCAAGAGAATTGCTTGAACCCAGGAGGTGGAGGTTGCAGTGAGCCAAGATCTTGCCACTGCACCCCAGCCCAAGTGACAATGTGAGACTCTATCTCAAAAAACAAATAAACAAAAAAGACAGGTTTTTGCCATGTTGGGCAGGCTGGTCTCAACCTCCTGACCTCAGGTGATTGCCCGCCTCAGCCTCCCAAGGTGCTGGGATTACAGGCGTAAGCCACCATGCCTGGCCCACTTTGTTTTCTTTTTATTCCCTAAATTTTAATATGTTTGAGTTTGTCTGTTCCTTTATCACTTTTTTCTTCCATAAAAAAATTCTGCCTAATCCTTCGTTAAAAAAAAAAAAAAAAAATCTTCCTGTGACTTCTGAAAGTGTTCTGGCTTTATCTTTCATATTTGAATATATAATAAGTTGATTATTGTTCACGGAATAGAGAAGAATGCAATGCATTTTCCCAAGTAGATGCCAGCCTGGTTTGCCTCATATTTTAAAGTGCATGTGATTTCTTTTTCTATTCTACAGTGCCTACTCTATCATTCATCAACCTTCCATATAAATGCTGGGTCATTAAGACTTTTTTCCCTTGGTCTGCTTGTGCTTGTTCATCTCTCTGCTAATACTGTGCTGTCCTGAATATTTTTGTTTGAAAATCTTGGAAGTATGTTAGGCAAGCCATCACTCTTTTTTTAGATGACTAAAAACCATTTGACATTTGTCATTTTTACTAGGTATGAAAAAGTAGTTTTTCTTGCCTAAAAAAGCCTGATTTGGGAATTTATGTGATTTCATAAGAATAGCATCTGGAAGTGGTGACATTAATGTCATTTTTAAAAACATGTGCCATATTTCCTCTTATTCCTTTCTGCTTTGACATTGTGCAATAGAAATTTTTAAAATTGTATTAGTATTGTTAAATATCAATTATTGGTTTTATTTACTAAATTAAATTTAATAAGCCTATTCTTTCTTGGTGTAATCACATGGAATGGGCTCAACTCCCCAGTTAACAAGTGACAGCACATGTAAAATATTGTCTTCCAGGGAAACTCATTGAACACTTCGTGTTCAGACTGTGTTTTGGTGTCTGGTTTCCTAATACCACTGCAGTGACATAAAATAATAGACCTTCAGCAGAAAAAGTTTTGGCAAATATATTGCATCAGTTGTTTAGATGCAGTGAGTCATTCTTATTACTTAGGTTGGTGGAATCCCTTTCAAAAGGTAAGTTACTAATACAAACAAAGATTGAACTTTGCGAGCAGGCATTTTTAAGAATAAGAGTCTCAGGACTGATAATATTAACTCACTTACGCTCATTAGGTAGGACTTTATTATGACAGATACTAGAAATGTACAAAGTGAAGTTAAAAGGTAAATCCTAGCAGCACATCTTACTCCTTGGATTCTCTAATGAGATGGGTGTTTCTACTTTGCTGTTGCCTTTTTGAATAGTTCAATTTTAGCATTAATACTGCTGTGTGGGAGGGAGTACGTGTGAACAGAGTTACAGTTATGACAATCAAGTCATAGAATAAATGCTTGGAAATTTTAGAATCATGTAAACAGCTTATGAATTGAGTATAGATTCCCAGTGCTGTCAGTCTCACCCATCCTTCTATCCACATGTGTGGAATGTTCCAGGACTCCGTGGCTTTTGAGGATGTGGCTGTGAACTTTACCCAGGAGGAATGGGCTTTGCTAGATTCTTCTCAGAAGAATCTCTACAGAGAGGTGATGCAGGAAACCTGCAGGAACCTGGCTTCTGTAGGTGAGAATGACAACACATTTCACTTAATTACAGAAGTATTTCCCTATCATCAGTGCTATTTGTGATTTGGAATGTGGCAAGGGAATGATTTGGTGAAGAAATCAGGCATGGGCACTGTGTACAATGAACATTAAATCTAGTAATGTTTCTTTTTTTTTTTTTTGAGACGGAGTCTCGCTCTTGTCTCCCAGGCTGGAGTGCAGTGGCGCGATCTCGGCTCACTGCAAGCTCCACCTCCCGGATTCCCGCCATTCTCCTGCCTCAGCCTCCCGAGTAGCTGGGACTACAGGCGCCGCCACCTCGCCCGGCTAGTTTTTTGTATTTTTTAGTAGAGACGGGGTTTCACAGTGTTAGCCAGGATGGTCTCGATCTCCTGACCTCATGATCCGCCCGTCTTGGCCTCCCAAAGTGCTGGGATTACAGTCTTGAGCCACTGCGCCCGGCAAATCTAGTAATGTTTCTACAGTTTGTAATAATTCATGATAATTTTGCGGGTCTGCATTTTAGGAAACAAATGGAAAGACCAGAATATTGAGGATCACTTCGAAAAACCTGGGAAAGATATAAGGTAATTTGCACTGAGAAGAGGAAATAAAAGTCCTCTTAAGCATGTCATGAACTTAAAAACAAGCAATCAAAACAAATAAGAGTCGCTTGAAATTTATTTCTTTTTAGAAAAATTTCACCCAAAATGTAACGTACTTCAGTGTAGCAGTGAGTGTTTGGAAAACAGTTTACTTGAAAATAGTACTACAAAATTGTGTATATGAATGTTACTATTTTGGTCATAGCCATGCAGGTGGTAGCTGTGTTTTCAGTAGTCATTTACTTTCAAATAATTCAGTCATGGCAAAAAAAAAAAAATGCATTTTCCCTGGTATTGGTAGCAGTGTAAGTCCAAGACCTATTAATAAGTAGAAAGTTAATAATAAACCAACCAATAATAATGTGCTTGTCATTTTTTTTACAGAAATGATATGGTACAGAGACTGTGTGAAAGCAAAGAAGGTAGTCAGTGTGGAGAAGTTGTCAGCCAAATTCCAAATCTTGATCTGAATGAGAACATTTCTACTGGATTAAAACAATGTGAATGCAGTATTTGTGGAAAAGTCTTTGTACGTCATTCCCTCCTTAACAGGCACATCCTAGCTCACTCAGGATACAAACCATATGGAGAGAAGCAATATAAATGTGACCAGTGTGGGAAACTCTTCGTTTCTGTTCCAGGTGTTAGAAGACACAGGATAATGCACAGTGGAAATCCAGCTTATAAATGTACAATATGTGGGAAAGCGTTTTATTTTCTCAATTCAGTTGAAAGACATCAGAGAACTCACACAGGAGAAAAACCCTATAAATGTAAACAATGTGGTAAAGCGTTCACTGTTTCCGGTTCTTGTCTAATACATGAACGAACTCACACTGGAGAGAAACCCTACGAATGTAAGGAATGTGGAAAAACATTCAGATTCTCTTGTTCTTTTAAGACACATGAAAGGACTCACACTGGAGAAAGACCCTATAAATGTACCAAATGTGATAAAGCCTTCAGCTGTTCCACTTCCCTTCGATACCATGGAAGCATTCATACTGGAGAGAGACCCTATGAATGTAAACAGTGTGGCAAAGCCTTTAGTCGTTTGAGTTCCCTTTGTAACCATAGAAGTACTCATACTGGAGAGAAACCCTATGAATGTAAACAATGTGACCAAGCCTTCAGTCGCCTCAGTTCCCTTCACCTTCACGAAAGAATTCATACTGGAGAAAAACCCTATGAATGTAAGAGATGCGGTAAAGCCTACACTCGTTCCAGTCACCTTACTCGCCATGAAAGAAGTCATGATATAGAGGCTGGGTGTAGTGACTCAGCCTATAATCCCAGCACTTTGGGAGGCCAAGGTATGTGTATTGCTTGAGCCCAGGAGTTCATAACCAGCCTGGATTAAAACAATGTGAAACAACCTGGGCAACATGGTGAAACCCTGTCTCTACAACAAATAAAATAATGCCAGGCACAGTGGCTCACACCAGCTACTCGGGAGGCTGAGGCAGGAGAATGGCGTGAATCCGGGAGGCAGAGCTTGCAGTGGCCGAGATTGCACCACTGCACTCCAGCCTGGGCAACAGAGCGAGACTCCGTCTCAAAACAAAACAAAAAAATCATTGCTGGGCATGGTGGCACATTTCAGTTGTCTTAGTTCTTTTTCAAGGACATAAAAAGCCATGGGGGGTTGGGGGGAAGCCCTCTGCTTGCAGATCACGAGGTCAGGAGATCGAGACCATCCTGGCCAACATGGTGAAACCTCGTCTCTACTAAAAATACAAAAATTAGCTGGGTGTGGTAGCATATGCTTGTAATCCCAGCTACTCAGGAGGCTGAGGCAGGAGAATCACTTGAACCCGGGAGGCGGAGGTTGCAGTGAGCCGAGATTGTGCAACTGCATTCCAACCTGGCAACAGAGTGAGACTCCGTCTAAAAAAAGAAAAAAGGCCCATGCATGTAAGAAATGTGGTAACATTTACTCTTTCCCATTCCCTCATAAACATGAAAGAGCTCACACTGCAGAGAAACCTTAAGAATGTAGGAAATGTGGTCAAGCCTTCAGATTTTCCTGTTTTTGAAGATTTGGGAGGACTCAGAGTGGGGAAAAGCCTTTTGAATTTAAATTTATGGTAAGGCCTTCAGTTGTGTTAGTTCCATTTGAAGACATCAACTCATTCCTGAGAAAAACCCTATGAATGTCCAGAATGTGGGAATGTTTCATTTCTCTCATACCCACTCAAGGACATATGAAAATGCACACTGTAGCTGGCTGGACCTTGTAAATACAAGAACGTACACAGGATTAAAACTCTAATAGTTTAGAAACTGCAAGAATATTTCAGTTTTAACATTTACTTGAAAAGTCATGTGAAAACTCCCACTGGAAAGGAGTTCTATAAGTGAAGCTTTTCTAATTTGGAAAGCCTGATGCAAATTAATTATCGTGTAGTGCTTGAAAAAAATGTGTGAAATCTTACACAAGTTACAAGTATATTGTTTTTATCAGTGACTCAAAGAGTCTTGAGTATGCTTTTCACCTTATTTTGCAGGGAAACCTTGAGGTGAGAGTTCTGTAAATGCTCTTTAAGCAGTAGTACTTGAATTTCATAGGTAATGATATTTTCTTAAGTTTGTTGGTAGAATTTTTGTCTATTCGTTTGATAATGTGCTGAATTCATGGTTGAATTTTGATGTTTTCCTAATATGTAGGTAAGTTTAATTTTTTTATTTTATTATTTTTTTTGAGGCGGAGTCTCACTCTGTTGCCCAGGCTGAAGTGCCGTGGTGCAATCTTGGCTCACTGCAACTTCCGCCTCCTGGGTTTAAGCGATTCTCCTGCCTCAGCCTCCCAAGTAGCTGGGATTACAGGCACCCACCACTACATCCAGCTAATTCTTTGTATTTTTAGTAGAGACAGGGTTTCACCATGTTGGCTAGGCTGGTCTTGACTCCTGACCTCATGATTTGCCCACCTCAGCCTCCCAAAGTGCTGGGATTACAGGTGTGAGCCTCCGCGCCCGGCCAGGTAAGTTTAATTTGTATGTGTTGTCCTATGATTAATGGACCAGTGAATACTGATTGTTAATTGTTGGAATTTTTCTTACTAGCCTCATTTGGCAAATTTTGATTATCCCTTGTCCATTATACACATTTCACCTTTTTTTATTAAAGGAAAAACTACTCCTGATGTAGAGATGTTTACTTTTTGCTAATAATGAGTTGGTGTTAATTCCTAAGTACATAAAGTTTACCATAGAATATCATCTCGTGAGTTCTTTGCATTTGTTGCCCTTTATTCTTTATTATTTCTGTTATTTGGATCGTTCACTTTGAATGAAGGAGAGAAAACTGTGATAGGACAATATATTATCACTAATCTGAGGGAGGAAGCATCAAGTCTCTCAGTCACATATGATAGCGTTGGACCTTTCATCGATGCCTTTGGTGCTGTAGTAGATAGTATTACGCCATTATGGTATTATAGTTTGTATATTGTATTTTACAGTATTACAGTCTTACCAGTCAGTGTCACATGATTCAGTTCCCTACCAGCCAACAGACAAACCAATCACATACTCTTGTAGGAACAAAGGAGCATCCTCAGCCGGGCGCGGTGGCTCACGCCTGTAATCCCAGCACTTAGGGAGGCCGAGGCGGGCGGATCACAAGGTAAGGAGATCGAGACCATCCTGGCTAACATAGTGAAACCCTGTCTCTACTAAAAATACAAAAAATGAGCCGGGCGTGGTGGCAGCGCCTGTATTCCCAGCTACTCGGGAGGCTGAGGCAGGAGAATGGCATAAACCCGGGAGGCAGAGCTTGCTGTGAGCCGAGATCGCACCGCTGCACTCCAGCCAGGGCGACAGAGCAAGACACCGTCTCAAAAAAAAAAGGAATATCCTCACTTTTTTAATGCTATACCGCTCTCTGCTCCCAAGTTCATCCCTGTTTGGGCCTGTGGGAGCTTACACCATCCTCCTATACGTAATTAATAACTGATGTTTAGCTTATCTGTTTAGTAATAGATGTCATGTGTTTAACGGTGCCAGTAAACGTAGGGTGCGCATTCCTTCCTCACCAGTGGGGTGCATGAGACGCTATTGAAACAATTGGCAGCACAAATGGAATGGACCAGCCCTCATGCAGGACACCTGCTCAGCTTGACCTGCCTGCTGTCGACTGATGGTTCCGTAACACATCAGCAGTCACCTGGGTCAGAAACGTGAGCTGACGATGGGCCTTCCCTTTGGTCTGCACAGTGTTTTGTGGTCTTCAGGTGTTTTCATCTTCTCCCACACTAAAATGCTGTCATCTCCTAGACGTGAATGTTCAGTTGCACCCCAGCATGACATTTGGCCTGTGCTTAGCAGGCAGTTTTGAGGCCCTGGCTTATTAATGCACAAAAGGACAGCACATAAGCCGACACTTAAGTCCTAATTAGCAAGAATCAGGCTGTATCTCTGTAGTCACTGCATCTACTCTGGTCACCATCTCTGTATGCGTAGGGCAGCCATGTGAACATTGTTAATTATTGTACACTCCTGAGACAATAGTTAATATGTAGGCAGAAGTAGTGGCCTTGTTTGTTTCTTGTGCTGCTGCTCCCCTTGCTGCTGTCCCATACACCCTCCTGATGAGGTGTACATCTATGGTGCCTCATGGTTCAGGCACTGATGAGCAAAGAAAATGGGAAGAAATAGTTTGATCTTAGCCCCTGCCAAAGCATATGAAGAAGCATCTCAGCTGCTTTCACTGAAAAATTCCTGGCCCGTGTGTGGGTTTTTCTTATCACTGCTGCTTATCAGCATGTCAGAAGTCTCATCTTCAGACTGCAAGTCTTGACGGCCTTAGACATAATGGCCTTACTGCATGTGGAGCTAACCCCAGGAAGCTGGAGTGGCACTCTCTGGAGGATTAGCTGGTCTCCTCCAATGTGGGCTGATGGGCTCCCGAACTCTTTCCTTTAACCATGCAGAGTCCACACTGCCAGTGATCATGTGCCACAACTCTATAGATGTAGAAACTCAAAATATTCTGAAACAGTTTCCATTGAAAGGGAAGAGAAAAGCAGTCAGGTGCCACGCTCCGGTCAAGAGAACTAGTAGATGGCTCACAAGAACACTCTGTCGCTACTGTCTGTGCCTCTGTCACCACAAATATCCTGATCCTTCAGTTTTAAGGGTGCAGGGCCATTTTCCTCCCTTTCTTACTGGTAGTTCTCAAGATAACTGTATGGTATGCTGGGAAGGCAATATCCTGATAATCAGGTGCCATTGGTCAGAACAGCCCAGGCTCTGTTATAGGCCCTGCTCGAAACAGAACAGCCTTTAACGTTTGTGTCCAGCAAACCACATCCTGGGAGAAAACCCAAGGTGGGCTGCTTTCTGGGGTCCCTCAGTTGTAGTGCAAGTGAAGCGTTAGTCAAAGCTCCATCCATCTGCTCTGGGTAGCCTTCCTGATCTTGTGGTAGCGGTTCATATTGAATCCTAGACTTCTGTTGTCTTTTGTTTGCTATTTGTAAGTAATAAATTCACTTCATGGGATTTATGTATGAATGTGTTTGGTCTCATTGTACTCAGAAAAGTTGCACAGCGAACCCTCTTTCGTAATTGGTGAAAACACCTATGGCCCCCTTGTGCCACAGCAAGGAGGTTAATTCAGCCAAATATCAACTTCATGTTCATAAAACCCTGTAGCACAATTATTACCATGTGGGAGGCCTTTAACAATGGTGATACTGATTTGAAGAACTCTGCAGGAAGAAATTTACACAAATGGGTTGGGTACATGGGCGTCCCTCCTAACTTAAAGCAACCCTTACTCCCCTCCGCCTAAAAAGAGTGGAGAGGCCGGGAGTGGTGGCTCAGGCCTGTAATCCCAGCACTTTGGGAGGCCGAGGTGGGCAGAGCACCAGGTCAGGGGTTCAAGACCAGCCTGGCCAACATGGGGAAACCACATCTCTACTAAAAATACAAAAATTAGCCGGGCGTGGTGGCGGGCACCTGTAATATCAGCTACTTGGGAGGCTGAGGCAGGAGACTCGTTTGAATGTGGGAGGCAGAGGTTGCAGTGAGTCGAGACCATGCCACTGCACTCCAGCCTGGGTGATAGGGCAAGACTCTGTCTCAGGAAAAAAAAAAAAAAAAAAAGTATAAGAACTGAAACACGTTTAAAATTTCACCTCATTGGAAATGCAAAGTTTACAAAAATAATATTTAAAATAAAAGGTTAAATGAATGCTCATTGAATTTTATGCCTCCACAAAATAGGTTGTGAATTAACTTCCACATTTGTTGAAAGCCACCAAAGTTGGGAAGCCTCTGTGTCTGAAATTCACATGTGGCTCAAATAAGCATTATACCTGGGGATACCCCAAAGTTTAAATATGGTATCCCCTATGATATGAGGAATTACTGTACATAAAGCAGATTGTCTTCCTTTAACTCTGAAAATCATACTATCTTGCCTAAATTCTCCATAACGCATTGCTCTGCAGTATCCTATAGTGGACATAGCTTTCCTGACCAATGAGCTCTAAAATTATGTGTGTGCGAATCACCTATGTGCTTATCAAAATGGAAATCCCCGAATCCCACCAGTTAGAATAACATGAGAGAATGTCAGATTTTCGGAATATATAAGTTCTCTGTAAGGTTATTAGGTATTGATTCCATTTTATTAATAGATATAAATATATTTAGATTACCTATTTCTCCTGTGTTTTAGTATTAATAGATTGTGTCTTTTACTTCATCCAGTTGGTCTAACTTACCAAGTTTGTGGGTTATGGAGATTGTAATATTCTTTATTGTTTTATCATCCCTGGGCTCTCTAATATAAAGGCCTCTTTTAATTCTTATATTATTAAGCTGGTGCAAAAGTAATTGTTGTTTTGGACCATGAATTTTAAATTTTTATAACTAGGCTGCAACACATCTTTATTAATCAAAATAGAACCCATTACAATGGGCTGGGTGCAGTGGCTCACACCGATAATCCCAGCACTTTGGGAGGCTGAGGCGGGTGGATCAGGAGGTCAGGAGTTTGAGACCAGCCTGACCAACATGGTGAAATCCGTCTCTACTAAAAATACAAAAATTAGCCAGGCGTAGTGGCATGTGCCTACAATCCCAGCTACTTAAGAAGCTGAGATAGGAGAATCACTTGAACCCAGGAGGCAGAGGTTGCAGTGAGCCGAGATCGCACCTTTGCACTCTGGCCTGGGTGACAGAGTAAGACTCTGTCTAAAAAAAAAAAAAAAGAAAAGAAACCATTACAATGAACACATTTTTGCCAATGAGAAATAAACTTGTTTATTCCGTGCTTTCAGGGTTCGATGAGCTCTTGGAAAGCGTTTTCTACATCCTGCTGGTTGTGTAAATGTTTTCCCTGCAAAAAGTTGTCAAGATGCTTGAATGGTAGTTGGTTGGCGAGAGGTCAGATGAATATGGCAGATGAAGCAAAACTTCATAGCCCAGTTTACTCAACTTTTTTTTTTTTTTTTTTTTTTTTTTTTGAGACGGAGTCTCGCTGTCTCCCAGGCTGGAGTGCAGTGGCGTGATCTCGGCTCACTGCAAGCTCCGCCTCCCGGGTTCACGCCATTCTCCCGCCTCAGCCTCCCAAGTAGCTGAGACTACAGGTGCCCGCCACCACGCCCGGCTAGTTTTCTGTATTTTTAGTAGAGACGGGGTTTCACCATGTTAGCCAGGATAGTCTCGATCTCCTGACCTCGTGATCCACCCGCCTCGGCCTCCCAAAGTGCTGGGATTACAGGCTTGAGC